GTGTAGGAAATCAAGAAAAATAATATGAAACATAGATAAAATATTTGATATAGAATATAACGGTGTATAATATCTTTATAACAAATGGTTACTCAATAATAATTTACAACATATCAACTATTTAGCAAGCTTTTTATAATAAATATAAAGAATTATAATATAAGAATTATTCCAATAATGCAATAATTTATAATGAATTTTTTATATAAAATGAATTGTATATATATATATATTAAACGTGTTATAATTAAATAAATCAAATTATCAAGCTTATGTTGAAAAGAATTGATCTTTATTTAATAAATTTCTTAGGCTTCATAAATTCATATTTAACACTTAGTTTTTAAAAGTTTTATTCATTTTTAATTTTATTAGCAAATATCTCTTTCCTTTCCTATTTTATTATTATTATTATTATTATTATTATTATTATTATTATTATTATTATTATTATCATCATCATCATTATAAATTATAAATTGAGCACATTTAAAATTATTTAAATTACATTTTTCATTTCTGCTTTGTATGTGTGTGTGTGTATGTTTGTTTGTTTAAATTTTCGTGAATCGATCAAATTACGTAACGTCAAAAGATAAAAACGATCTTATAATATTACAATAGAATTTAATTTAATTTAATTTCAAATCATCGTGCCTTCTAATAATAACAAACTCTCGAAATAATATTCACACTTTGACACATAATTATAATATAAATTAATATTGCATTAAAGGCGATTTTCTGCACTCGACAAATACATCGAACTACTACATAGAATAATAAAATAGAGATCATCGCCAACTGAAAATGAAAATTATATTAGAATTATAATATAGAAAATAATATTAAATCGGCATTGGAAACGTCAAAATTCAAAATTCAAACTTTAACATCGCGACTCTACCTATTTTGTCGTGTATCATGTATTAAAGTGTCGTCTGCTACGCATGAAACAGCAAAAAAATGCATAATAAACTTATGCACCACGGTACGACAATATTCAGCAACAGTGAAAATAGTCTTAAGCGATAGCAGCAACTAAATACGTTTAATTATCTCGCTCGTGCAATGAAAGTAAAGAGCTTACATGCAATTAAAGTGGAATGGCCCGACAAACAAAACTGAAATTTCAAGCTTGCAGAGCTTTTCACTTTTTACTCTTCACTCCTCCCCCGCAATATATAGGGAACGTCCGTACAGCAAGGGGAACCAGCAGAGCCCTGTAAACGCTCGATCGATGACGTCTAGGAGACTAGTCAAGGAGCGTCACAAGGAACCCTAGTCGCTTATCAATAACGATGCCACTAACCTCCTGTTCCACCCTCTATGTAAACGAACGGCCTCTCAGCCTTTGGGACTCTTGGTCCAGAGGCTCTCGAACAGCACTTGACGACTGACGCGCGACGAATTACTGAGAGAAGCAGCGCGACTGCGGTGCCAAGCACTCGTCCGCCGTCTCCATGACGAATCACTTACGTGCCTCGGAGCCGCTAAATACGACGAGCCACCGTTAGATGCTGCCGGAGATAGGCCTAGGCGGCTTTTCTCTCCCCGGCTCCACCAAGTCCGGCAGGGAACTTTTGCTGAAACTCATCGCTCGGTTACGAGACGAGACGAATTTTTATCCCAAGAGCGATCCGATTCCACGATACGATTCGCGGATCGATGTTTGCTATACGAACAGTAAAAGCGCGGGCGCCAGCTGCTGTCAGCTTGTGTGCAGCCTCTCTCTCTCTCTCTCTCTCTCTCTGGGTGGCAAGTTCACAACTTAAATATTTATCTTCTCGAACATTAAATGAGCTTTCAAGTGAGACTCCCCGACTATTTCTATTTGCCTCCTCGAATTTACCATTTCATCTATTTACTTTTTCCATTTTCTTCAGACATCCACCATCTTGTACTTTTTCACCCCCCCCCTCCCTCCCCATCTCACATTTATCTTTATTTATATTTATATTTTATTTTTATTATTATATAATCCGATTAAATAGTCATTTCATTATATTGATAAATTAGATACTGAACTTGATTAATTTTCCCTATCTTGCTTATCTTGTGAGCTACAACATAATATCAAACTTACCAACATTACTTTCCTTCCTATTAAGCATATTTCGTATCATTGTAGATTCGATGTTCAGATTACAACTCAATAGTATGGAAGTGGCAAAAGCAAAATCAAAAGTAAAGCAATATTTTATCATTCAAGGCGTAATTTAGCTCATTTAGTATTATCAGAGTTTTATCAGAGAATTACTAAATTACTCGATTAATGATAAGTCATCGATACATCGTTCGATTTAAAACTTACATTCTTCGTCAATTTTGATTCCGAATTTGTTCTTTCTCTCGTCAAAAACGAGAACAGCACATACCATAAATTATTTAAGACCTACATATTCCTTAAATTTATTTTATAAATACTTTATAAGGTCTTGGTTATTTACAATGTTTGTTCGTTATAAAGACATTATTATTGCTGTATTCTTTATCCCAATTTACATCTATGAACAGACAGTCTCTCTCTTTTTCTTTATTAGTTTTTTTTTTTTTTTTTTTTTTTTTTTTTTTTTTTCTATTTAAATATGGACAACTATAATTATTCTATGTTAAATAAAATAAAATAGGAAATGACTCGGGATTAACTTGAATTTTTATATCAACCCGTGCATAAAATCGTGAGCATTCACATTTTTTTTTTTTTTTTAAGATAATTGTTTAAAACACCCGGACATGAAAATTCGATTAGACTTTCAGCTTTTCATATAAATAATAACGGCTCGTCTGATGCAATGACAAACATTTCATAGTTAAGAAATATATACGCGCATACACTTCGACATATTTCTACAAGAAAGACAATGTTTAATTTTTTTAATTTTAGTCTTTCAAGATTTAATCAAACGAATATACATAAATTCCGCTTTCAATTGACGTGAACATAATTTTTAGAATATTAGCAGATCTTACGAACTAAAGGATTTGTAACTTCATTCGTAACTTGCAAATCTCATTATGATTAAATTTATTTAATCTTAATAATTTATTTGATTTTCGTTTATAAAATGATTTGCCCTTCACTGATACGATAGCTATTTACAAATAAATCATATTAATATATTATATTTCAAACAATCTTCTTTCGTTAATTAATTTCTTCGTTGGCTGCGAATGCAGAATATATTAACTAATACTAATACTAACATTTAAATACTAAAGCTTTGAAACGTAGTTGAGATCATGCGCTTAAGTTATTAAATTAAATTATTTATGCTAAGGATTTATTACAAAATTTAAAATATCTACAAGTTTTTCTTTTCTTTTGATTTTGAACAAATTCTCATAATAATTATCGACAATTGTTGAAAGGAATCGGTATTATACGATTTGGCGACATCTTTAGTCGTCAGTGGCAACTAAGCTTAACCGAATTGTATCGAATGAATATTCGATTTGCTTGAATGATATAAAAAATTTTACTTTATGCGTTCTTAATTGACTAGAGCTTCTTATCTTATATTTTATTAAATATAATATAATTTATTTGATTACTCGATTAATTACTAACGACTAAAAAGCACATAAAAAAAAAAAAAAAAAAAAAAAAAATTTTTTTAAAAAAAATTAAGTTGAACAAAATTAGATAAAAACCAATTTTTTATAGATAATTTTAAAATATCTTTTTTATGAATATTTGTCATTAAAAACTCGTCACATTCATAATAAAGAATATATTATCAAATATAAATTTATAGTATTATTTAGTATCGCAAACTTGCTGGTAATCTTGGTATAAATGGCATAGTGAAAATGAAATTTATTTTTAATTTTTGTCCCTACGAAACTTTTATTACAATTTTACATCAATATTCATAAAAATGTAATAATAAATAATAATAATAATAATAATAATAATAATAATAATAATAATAATAATAATAATACGTATATATATAAGAATATATAAGAATTTTTATGAAAAGCTGGGAATTTAAATCCATTTAACAAATTTCAATATTTGTCTTAAAAAATTTTCTTCAATCATAGAATTGCATATATACAGTTTCTTAAGGTATATTAATTAATAATTATATCTAATTATTACAATTAGCAAATAAATCATTGAGCTGAATGAGAGTCTTGTTTAAACGGAAAGTAGTAATTGCATAGCAAATTTCTTCCATTATCCGTAGACATACGTAATTCTTGAATAAATAAATGATCATCGATTATTAATCTAAAAGCAGATTATAATTACTTTTTCATTTAAAACATGTCATTGTTTATCTTACCATTTAACATAATAGCGGTAATTAAAATTACTAACTGAAAAAAAGCTTCCTAAATATTTTGAATTGAATGTATTTTTAATGTTGATAATAATCGTTTAATATCCACATTAATATGGATATTACATTCTTAACAGATATTATATCTTCAAATAATTGTATTCATCTTCTAGTAATCTATTGTAATTTGTATCGTGAAATTTATTTGTGTTGAAATGTATTCTACTCGATTCTCTTGTAACATTGTAGTAAATGTATTATCATCACATTATTGATAGTTTGTTAATTGAGAATATCAAATTACTTTATATTATAGAATGACGAATAGCAAGTTTACGTTATTATTTTGCCTTAATTGGAATTAATCGTTTTAATAAACAGACTTATTTTATTGTATAAAATATTTTTTTTAAAAGATTTTTCTTAATTTTCTATTGAAGTATATGTATATAAGTTATTCAATATTTTCAAAAATAATTAATTTTGCGTTAAATAGACGAAGCACATAAAATAAATCGTGAAAACTCAAGTATCTGAATTTTACATTAGGACTTCATTCTATATAATAAAGCTTGTGATAATTACACTTTATAAATTTATTTTTGTATATATGTTTATATATATATATATATATATATATATATATATATATACAGAAATTTCGTTAAGCCATAATATGCTAAATAGATTGATGTATCAAAATATGATGATTTTAATAAATTGTAAATGTAGAGAAGTAGTTTTTGAAAAATAGAATTATTTTAGTATCTTTTACTTGTAATTGAAAATAAGTTTTTAAGTGGGCATCGAAAATAAAATTTCTAATATCTTGAAAAATTTTATTAAAAATTTTCATAGTATAACGAATTATTTTGAAATTTTTTCTTATAGTACAATGACGAATCCAGTTATTAAATTTACAGCTTACATATTGATTATATGAGAGTTATGGGCTGTAAATTAGACTTAAATTTACGAAGCTTTTAAGGAATTTTATTTACAATTAGCGTAACAAATTCATCCATGTAAATAATCTTGTAGATTTTTTTTATTTTACGTCAAGTGATGAAAATACCTGTTGCATGCGAGGTCGTGTAATTAATATAAGCGTATACAAAAGTATATACGATTAAGAAAAGAAAGTAGCTTTGAATATTTTGCAAACTCCTTATATCTAAGCTCTTATAGCAGCGTGTGCCATTAAACGCATTTGAAATTACACGAATGGCATAATTATTTTGAACGCAGTTCATAAGTTCCGATCGCGCAACATGTAAAATACCCGCTAGCGGGCAAAACAACAAATATATAAGCAAATGTAGTTACGGTAAAAGGCGAAAGAGAAAAAGTAAGAAGCACCGAGTGACAACGCGCGCGCCCGCGCAAAGGAAAAGAAAACCGAAGAAACTACCAAGCGGTCGAGCGTGGGGAACTGGGCGCAAAAACGGGCGAGCCAATTATTATCGGGAAAATCTACTTTCATAGAAGACGAGAGTAGCGGTGCCCCGTGTGTCATTGCTTCGACTCACTTCTATATGTTTGTGCCTAGGTACGTAGCCGCGTGTCACAAGCAACGCGAGATGCGCCGATTGAAAGAAAGGAGGACTGGTAAGAAAGAAAGAAGGAAAGAAAGCAAGAAAGAAAGAAAGAAAGAAAGAAAGAAAGAAAGAAAGAAGGAAAGAAAGGGAGAAAGAAATGAAGGAAAGAAAGAAAAAAAGTCCGCGTCGCCTTAGCCAAATCACCTTGAGGATTTATGAAAATTAAAGAGTTTCTATATTGTCTATGCTGTACTCCTATTGGAACCATGTTTTTAGGTAAATGTGACATTCCATTTTCGCATTGAAGTCATTATTGAGGAGAATTATCACTCCAATGACTTCAATTAGGTTTATGCATGACTTCCATCGCGAGCTATACTGTATGTAAAAAAAAGAAAAAGAAAAAGAAAAATGTCCTGGTGCTCGGTCACGTGTGCAGCCAGCAACGGAGCTTCGAGAACTGTTAAGAGCTGCCAAAGAACTTATTTACATACCCGTAAGAAGACAAATTTAGTCCTCGATTTTATCATCATTTGCATCTGTTGCTGGTACGAGAGTCTAGTTAATTACTTGTGATAATTCGTTCTTCCCTTCTCATTTTATCATTACTTATTTTAATTTTTAATGCACTTGCTGTACAAGTAAATAGCACTTGCGTTCCTCGCGTTTTATAATTGATTTGGAATTAAGGCCGACCTTGAAAATATTCCATACTTTAATGCTCGTATGCGAGCTTTATTTATGGAGAGCGGATGAAATGCGGATTATATTTATTATATATTTACTAGTTGGTGAAAAGCTATTTGAGAATTAATTTTTTTTTTCTTTTTTTTTTTTTTATTACATGCAGTTTTCTATGCAAAGATTATTATGATTATGAAATACTTTCGATGCGATAAAAGCTGCACGGATGGTAACGACTATTATTATTTATCACACTGTCAATGATATGATATTACGATCCTAACGTCAGCATTAAATAACAATGAAGACTCTTGGGAAATTATTATTGTATTGTGATATTTACATTGGAATAGTTTCGGAACTACTTGTCACAGTTTTTCAAATTGACTGGATGAAATAACTGGGTTACTGATAAAATAAGAATGATTTATCATCAATAAGGCATCGATGATTGAAAAATTATGTATTACGATTATACGCATTACGAGTCTCTTGATTCGATTGAATATTGAAGAATATTAAATGAATATCGTTTAATCGTAAGTCATTGGAATTGCGAAACAATGAGATTATATTTCTATTAGATCTAAATGTATAATTACTCGCGCACATTATCCGTCCATCCAGTCAATGAGGTAAAAGTCTTATCAAACGAGAAGTCAAGCCTTTCCTCATTCTCCTCGTGCGACAGACAATAATATTTCAATAACCATTTTGAAAGATTAGATGGGTAACGATCTCGCTCAACGCTACTAATGACATAAAAATTAAGGAACGGATTCCTTAATCCCTAAAGGACCCCTCCCTCCGTCATTCATAGTTTTCGCAATGTAACTTAAACGAAATCAATTTATCAGCGAGAGCAGCATCGATCGTCGATCGAGGAACAATGGTGCATTGGCCATCTCTCATCTTGAAATAATATAAAAAAGATTTTCGGCATTTCGCGGAGTTGCGCGGAAAAACGAAATTAACGAAAAGCAAGGAGCATTAAAGCTGGACGAGGAGGCTGTTTGTCGAAAGGCCGCTCGGAAGTGTCTAATTGAATCGGGACGTCCAGCCGACCTAGAGAGTAAAAGTACGAATTCGCAGACCGAAAAGCCGAGCGGCCCCGGAGCTATGGCGAACGTATCTCGCGGCCCCGTCGTCGCGGTCGCGGTCGCGGTCGTGGTCGCGGTTCCCGTAACCCAAGGGACCTTAACTTTCTCCTCGGATCTTCGGCAGCTCCAGCCCAGTCATTTCCGGCCCTCGGCGCAAAGGCCCCACTTGACACTTGCGCTCGGCCGTCTGGAAACTGGCACGTCTCGGGTCCGAATGTGGGTCGCCGGCTAACTGTTCCGCCGTACCGTTTCGCCCGTCCTCCCACCCGGGGTCCGTGGCTACCGGGAGCTGAGCACCGGGGCTAGTCAATCGTGAGCAGCTAGACGCGTCAGCCGCGCCGCTCCGGCATTAAACGGGGCCTCTCGCTTTTACTACGACGACTTAAGCCAGGTGAGACCGCAGCACTGGATCTGGCCCGTGAGGCCGCGGCAGCATCGCTCGAGGATCATGCGCACCTAGAGGCCTCCCGCAGACCCTCTCCTCTACCCGGGATTCGAGAGCCTCAGCCTTCACGAAGGTGGACTTCAGCTCAGCTCAGGTCAGTCCCGAATAGACGTAATAATGGGGCGGCGATTGGCGCGGGGCCGGAGATTTCGTCCAGGGGTTGACGCCGAGCTCGTACGCTCATACGCTTCGCCGGCGAATTTCGATTAACTTTTACGGCCATTGTCGATCATTTATTGACTATTGACTATATTGCGAATCGTAAATAGCGAACGAAGGGTTAAAGAATTCAGTCTGCGCTTTAAAGTCAGGACCAAGCAAAGTAATACCTAAGAATTTAATGTCCTCTATTGGGATGATTAAATGACACTTTGATCTTTCCATTTTCGACTTTTATCATCTAAACAAACAATCTAATGTGTTTATTATCAAAGAATTCTCGACGATGTTCACACATACGTTGAAAATAAATTTCGTACCCTATGCTTCGATATAATGAAATGAGTAGGGAAATTATGCGAGGTGCAAGCGTTTGACTTAAGTGAATTATTTATTCAAAATTTGGCTAATTAAATAATTAAAAATCATTAATTTGTCAGTATATAAGTAAATGAAAATTGCTTCCTTTTTTTTCAAAGCATACTATCATTATTTACGATTAGCGAAAACACTATTAATAACGATAAACGCAAGCCGAGAGCGTGATCTTACAGACTTGCTTTACAATTTTACTTTTTGTAATAAAAACTATTTATTTGAGTGAATAATATTTTAAATTAAAATTCATTATTTTATTATTTAACTGTATAAAGTAAATATATAATAGTGTTAAATGTATGAGATAGAAATTATATTCCTAGAGACATTTAAAATGCTTTTTAAACACAACAGTTTCATTATACATCTTATGTAAATCTCAGTTTTAATAATTGTCAAACTGCACTTAATCAATGTAATTAAGTTTTACAATAGTAAAGAATAAATTGAAAATGTAAAGATGAGTAAATTAATTTTAAAATTAGCCATTACTTTTCGCATAATATTTGTACAGAAAAGAAAGTATTGTCCTTATGATAAATCTATTTATGACGAATTTTAAGTCTTATATACTTAATCTAATGGACCAAATTTATGTAAGAAATTCATTGAAAGTCAATAAATATGTTCTTTATGAAACGTATAGTTGGAAAAAACGAAATATATAAGATGGATATACTACAATTGAGTTGAAGAAGTCAATATTTTTATTAAAAATTAAAGAATTAAATAACAAAATTTATATTTTTGGTAATAAATAATATAGCTGGGTTATTAAAAAAAAAAAAAAAAAAAAAAAAAAAAAAAAAAAAAAAAAAAAAAAACAACGATTTGGAATAAAATTCCAATTAATTTTGTGAGGTTATAATAAAATGATAAAACTCGTGCATTTAAACTTTTTAAATATAATTTAAACATTATTTCAAATTATTCAAATTTACTTAATGCAGTGTCAATTATTTTTTCGTAAATAAATCAAGTTAGCTATCTAAAAGATAAATGATATTTTTATTAAAATTAATATAATTAGTAAATGTAAATATATACAATAATATATTGGTTGAATTACATTTTATAATGAAAAAAATTCTATATATATATATATATATATATATAATTAAAGTAATTGATTTAAATAATTTTAACTAATAGTAGTTTTTCATTATACACAGATTCATAAAAAAAAATTATTAAGTTAAAGCTTATAAATAATTTAAATCACTTTTTATATCTATAAAGTAGATTTAAGCAATACAAATAAAAATAAAATTTATTTATAATTTCTTTTTTTATTTGTCATTCAATGTAATAATATATGCAGAAAAAAAAATCAGGCTAATTCTTAAATTTATTGGAATTCTTTAGACGGAGATAAGTGATCGAATACGTTTTAAATCACATATGTATATCACAACAACACTACAACATAACAAATGTACAATAATTTAAGCTTAAAATTAATAAAAGCCTGACAAAGCATTAATAAATTGAAAATTATTTTATTTTATAAAACAAAAAGCTTATGATTTTTCACCAAAAACCTTTTTATAAATTTATTTAATCTTTATATGTGATATGATGTCATCTATTTGATCCCTATTAGTTTTTGACTTTTCACAAAAATAAAAATCTCATCTCTTTTAAGATGAAATATTTAAGCTTTAAAAAGTTGTCAAATATTTCTTTCCCAATAGCTATACACGACACTACATATAAGCTTCTTAGGAACACATTAGGTCCAAAGAAGGCGTTCGCTCCTCTCAAAAATAAATCCTCGTTCACGGCATTTTCGATAAGTGTGCTTATAAATTGTCGGCATTAATAATTTGTGTAATGCCGTTAAATTGAATAAAGTCCCGGTTGAAATACTCCCTTCGAGGGAGCGTCGAGGGGGTTACTCGAGTCCGTTTTCCAGAAGCGCACGGCAACTGGCCGACGAGGAGGCGCTTCCTCGTCGGCAGAGTAACGACTCGTCGCCGGCACAGCGCAGGTCTTTGACCCCCCCCCCCCAGACGCGCGCCCGCGCGCATTCTTTCGCGCTCTTTATTTGTTGTGTCACGCCTCCGTGACTTTTCCCGCCTGGAGCAGACTGACATTGACGGTCCTTGCGAATTTGTCATGCCGCAAGGGATGCACCACCACTCGAACGACTCGAAAATCATTGTCGCTGCGATTCCACTTGAGAAATTGTACCTTCCTTTCCGAACTCTTGAAAATATACACTCGCTACCAATTTGGGTACTATCCACTTACTTCGCCAACCAAAGTATTCTCTATTCTTGATTTTTTTCTTTTCTTTTTTATCTAATAATAAATGTATAACTGAGATTTTCTATACTTGCTCCAGTTATTACTAATTTGCATTATTACTGTAATTATTGATACATGTATCTGCAATATATACATATACGTACATGCATTTACTAACATTTTAAGACATATGGGATATATAAAAAGAACTTTGGATAAAAATTAATCGTGTAATTTAAGAAAATAATAAAAAATAAAATTACCATTACATTTCTACAATATCCATGACGTTTTTTTTTTTTTTTTTTTTTTTTTTTTTTTTTATTAATTTAAGCATACACAATTGAAATTTTGATAGATGTAATATTTAAATATAGTAAAATTTATTACTACCATTTTTATTGAAAAATAATATATTCTTGAAATACAAAACTAGATACGTAAATTTTCTTCTTTCTTTCCTTGTTTTTTTTTTTTTTTTTTTTTTTTTTTTTTTTTTTTTTTAATAGAAAAACATTCAATTGAAGTTATATCAATAAAGTCTCAAGTGATCAGATAAATTTTGCTAAGAATTCCAATAGTTTTTCCAATGATATGAAATTGAGAAGTTCCGATGAACTACCCAGTACTTTCTCCTAAAGTATCAAGTACTAAAGTTCACGAGTCTTAATGCTGCAATACTTGAGACTTTTTTCCCGTAATTGAAATTTTACAGTATTCGAAAATTTGCTAACTTGTTAGTAATTATTTTCATTCTTCCTTCTTTGTCTACTTCTTTTGCTCAATTGTTAGCATTGCGTGTCGAACTCTATTTAACACGAGGACAATCTTATTCCGTATAAAGCGACTTTTACTTTTTATGAGAACGAGAAAAGTTCAAAAATAAATAAATAGAGTCGTAGATATGTCCCTGAAAAAATTTTGTTACCTCAATTACTTCCTTCCACTCTACGCACCCATAATAAAGTTAATAGGCCAATAGTAGCAATTCCAATAACAGAAACTCAAATTGCCATAAGAGTTTGGTAAAAATATTGGTAATCCATAACTCCGGTTCGGCCACTTCGACCAGCACTCAAGAACTCACAAGTTTATGATTTTCTCAAGAGTCCGAGCGCCGGAGAATTTCATCTGATCGCAGTCCTCGCTCGAAAATGAAAAAGGAGACGATGCTGCGATGTACCGTCAACACCGGTTATTAATCCACGGGTGCGATAAACCCTCGAAGACTTTTGGGCTAAGTGGGTCGTACCAAAATCTCACTCCTACCACTCAAAGAGCGAGGCTGCACTCGCTGCGAATGACTCTAGATAAAAAAGTCTTGGAAAACTTGGAGCATATAGCTCGCTTTCTTCTCGTTTTTTTTTCTTACTCGTACTTTTTACCTTCTTTTAGTCGATTCTCCGGTTTATCGCGAGCTTTTTATCTTCGTTTTTGTAATGTCCGTGCTCCTCGGGTTATGTGATTCGGTGAAATTCGCGTTATGCGAACGAGGCGTAAAAACTTGTGGGTCAATCGGTTCACGCGTAATGGCACGAGTTATGCGAACTGTTATTCAGGCATGCAAGACTTAGTTTTTGCAATAGCGATAGTTCGCTCGTGGGAAATGTCCAATTACATTATGTTTCGGTGGTGATATGACGCACAAACAGGCTTTTGCCAATTTTCAATCGGGCCACCGAGACCTTAGACGTAAGCATAAAAAGTAAAAAAAATTCCTCTCGACATTTCCTAACATTTGAAGATCATTTAAAGATCTTTGTTAATCAATAATCTTATTAGAACGAATGGTTGCTTACATTTGTTGTATTAACAGACATTAGATACTTCCTATATACACTGTACCTCGTAATTTTTCTCGGACCTTTTCCTAATTTACCTCTACTTACCTATTCAGACTATCGCTTATCATGTATTGTACTAGGATAAAGAAAATGATTTGTGAAAATAATTATTTTCATAGGACAAATATTCATTTCCTATATTTGGACTTATGATAATTTGTGACAATTGATTATATATAATACGTCTTTATTTAATAATTTAAACGATATTTATGCACGTTGAACATTTCGAACAAAGTATATACAATATAAATACATATTTTGTTATTGTTTATAGGCTAAAAATATTATTATTTAAGATTTTAATTATGTGTAGAGAATTTTAAAAGCAATTTAAAGCGAAAATTATGTAAAATGTGAAGATAAAATTATAAATTACAAATTCTCAAAGCTACTTATCATTAAAGAAATCGTACAAAAGCAAATTTTTATCCTTTTAACACATCACTCAGCTATCATTCGT